TCTTTGTAAAAACTTCAATTGAATTTCAATAAAGTTAAAGGCATGGCCTCACCGTTAATATTAAAAAAAAAAAAAAATAATAGTATTACATAAGCAAGATAAGCATTATTTTATTTCCCTTCTATTTACAACCCAAATGCATTACTAATTACTTCCTTATTTGTCTAAGATATAATTGATTACTTCTCCTTGCATATCAGTGTTATTAAGGCCATTACAATCAGATCAAACATCATTTTGCAGGTTTACAAGCCTTATATTTTAGGTTTATCTAGGATCTGGCATGTGCTGACCTATTAGGCCTATTGGGCTTTCTTTAAAAGTTAATTTGAAATACATTTAATAATACTAGTTATATAATAATTTATTATATAACTTGCACTTTTAGAGTGTAGTTCAAATTAACTTTTAAAAAAAGCCCAATAGGCCCAATGAACCAGTCTATGCTGAACTCTAGTTTTATCTAAACTTTAAACTACCATTATTACAAAATTTTTAAATCTTTGGCCTTATATTATTTATATTAAATTATATTCATATTTAAAACTTTTTTTAATTATATAGATTTTTGCAAGATATAGTAAATTTGCTAAAACTAATTGTAAAAGAAACTTGACATCTATGAGGTGCTAAATATCCAACTCATAATCTTGTTTATCCATATATGGAATTACTTAAGAAATAGTTTGCATCTAAGATAGATGAAACACTAAAAACCTATTTGAATCTTATTTATGAATAAAAAGATGAAAGTGATAAAGAGAAAGATGAAAGTGATGAAACAAGTGATGATGATACTTCTGCTGCTAGTACTTATCAACATTGGCAATATGCATACAGGCAATTTCATCAAAGGATGGCTGTTCATAGTCAAGTTGTTCATAGTTAAGCTACTTATAGTCGAGCTACTCATAGTCAAGGATAAAGTAAAAAAACACAAGTATGATCTAATAATACAGAAATAGAAGATATATACAAAGTAGAGTATTTAACACTAGCTACTATCACTGGCTTGCTTGATAGGGTTTGTGCTATTATTTTTTTGTTAATGGATGAGTTATGGACAACACCATCAAACATTGCATTAGTTGCTACATTTCTTGATATAAGATTTAAACATTTTAATTGGGCAACACATAATAAATGAAACAGGGCACAAAATTTAATAGAGGATTTATACAAGGAATTAAAAACAAATTTTATCATCCTAAATAATATTGAAGAAAGTTTGAATAGAGATCATGATGATGATGATGATGATAATGACTTCTTTTATGAGTTAGAAGGAAATTTTATACAAGCTGATATTGAAGAAGAAAATAAGTTAGCATGCTATATAAAATTGAAAGAAATCAAACTTAATAAAGATTCCTTAGAATGGTAATCAGAAAATATAAGCTATTTACCTATTTTAGCACAGTTAGCTCACAAATATCTTTTAATCCTGGCCACATCAGTCCCAAGTAAAAGACTGTTTTCTGATATCAGAAATCATATTTCAGCAAAACAAACTTGTTTATCACTAGATTTAGTTAATAAGATATTATTTTTGAAATGCAATAGAGCTTATTTTGATTTATTTCTACTACAAGAGCAATAATTTAGTTTACAAGGCTCTACAAACTTCATGATTTGGTTCTCATAGCCCAGCTGGTTAAATTTCACAAAAGCCTTAAAAATTTTTTAACTATATTTACTATCCATATAAACTTTTTTAGAAATCTATAAAAAAATTCATATATTTTTCATATAAAAATTTTTTTTAAAATAAAATTGAAAACCATGTTGCTGAGTTATTTTTTTAAAATTTTATGTTATAAGAACTAAAGCATTAAATTTGTATAGCCTGATGACAATTTCAATATTGTAATTTTCATTATATAATTACAATAATATAACTTTTGCAATTGAAACTGTATGCTATAACTTTTATAATATTCAATTTAATAAATCAAGTCTGTTATTTTTAATAAATAATAATGCACATAAGAGATCATTAGATGTTAATTTATTCTCTCATAAATCTGATAGTAAACTCTAATAAAACAACCTAACATCCAGCATAATTGCATTCAAAACTTGACTCATATATTGATATACACAAAAAATACACTCTTAATAATGTTTCTTGAAATATCAGTTATTCTCTAATTGTCTTTATTTTCCTCTGAGTAAATAAGAAACTAACCTATTCATTGTTTACCTTTTTATAAAATTAACTATTGCTATTATATTTTGTGTGTAATTATAGTTAAAATCAGTTCAAGTTGTTTGAGAAATGCTATATGAGTATAACTATCAATAAATGCTATAAAAAAAAATAATAATAACAACTTGGGTAAAAGTTTAGAAGATTTTATAATTATGTTACTGTTAGTAATATCATGGATTATTAATTATTTGAGCTAAAAAATAAATCAAAAGATTATCAATATATAAATATAATATTTACTATAATGCATAATGATAATAAATATCAATATAATAAATTAAATATTATATGAGTAAATTAGTAATAATAAATGATGCCATTAATTTAAAGTAAATATATATATAGGCTTAATATTGCAAAAAAGAATAAATTAACAAATTTTAAAAAATTTATTTTTTTGCATAAATTTAGAATAGATTAGGATTATTTTTTTACTTAAAACACAAAAGTAGTTATATTAATAAAATTTTGTAATTTCTTACATAAAATTTAATTTTTTCAAAGATCAATTTAACTTTTTTTGCAGCACTAAGCCCATATATATATATGGCAAGGAAAAATAAAATAGTCACTTTCTTCTGTTTTTGCTTACAATAATACACTAGATAAAGTCAATAAAGCTTTTATCTTCATATTAAGAAATATCACTTAATAATTTGAAGGCACTGTCAATCAAAACATGTGCTCGTAAGATTAAAAAAATTGCTATGTATAATTAATTATAATATGTTATTTAACAATAAATTATATCTGACATTAACAAAAATAATTACAGTAATCAATAACACTCCATTATAATTAATTTTTTATTACCAATTTTTAATTTCACTATAACATGTTTTAATTGATGATGCCCTATTTTACTACTAACATACATAATACTCTTTAATTATTTTAGACTAAAAAATACACTTGCTTTCTATTATTTTATCCTAATATGAAGGATATCAATCATATTTTCCAATGCATATAGTTACTATTTCACAACCTTGATCCTTGATTCAACTATATTACAGTATTACTAAGCATCTGTTATCTGAAAAGTTAGATATGAATAGTTAGACTGAAAACAAAAATCATGTATTTATATTAACTAGTTAATAACTGTTATGATGTGTAATATATAATCATTCAATACTAAAATCACAAATAGTGTTCTAACATTAAATTTTCATGTCATAAATGTGCCATATATAGTGTTATTAGTAATAAAATAGGAAATATAAAAGAAAAAAATTGCTTGTATAAGAGTGTTAAAAAAAAATTGTTAATAATGAAGGGTGAAACACTGTGACTGTCAAAATTACTTCTGAAACTAGAAAATTTTATAAATTTATTATATAATACTAGCTTGTATATAAAGGAATGCACTAAATTAGAACTCTATAAAGTTCAAGCATTAAGTAATATAAGTGTTCTTTTTTAATAAATTAAATTATTAACTAATTAAGATTCGTGGCATAATATAGATCTTTAATTTATTCACTCTTATCTCAATTGTGAAGCAGTTACTTTTATAATGCACAATAAGTAATCTTTTTTAATAAAGACATCAATATAAACAAAGATGCTGAGAGAAAGATTCTATTGATATTAAGAAAATATATATAAAAGTGTTAACAATAGTTAAACAACAGAAGAAAAAAAAGTAGTTCAAAGAACTATATATAATTAAAATGTATTTAAGATGCTACATTTTCTCTGATAAAATTTTCAATTTATAATAAAATGAATACTTAAATTAGTGTTGCAGTAATTCAAAACTGAATAAGACTAATACAAAGTTGAATTCTTAATTTTATCTTTTGTAAATTCTATTCATGCTAAGTCTTTTAAATTTTATTATTGTTGATTTTTCTTAATATCTTATTATTATTTCTATTATTTATTGTAAATTAAAGCTGACATAGCTCTTTTGATCTATAACTAATTTGAAAGATGCATTAAAGCAATATAGTCTTTGAAATTACAACTTTAAGCATAATATTATATATGGGTGCTTGAGAGTGAAGACCTGAAACTTATCATCATAGTAAATCATTATATGTAACTGTAGGTCATACTCTCATACATTTATATAGATTAAAAATCAGATAATTAATATAAAATACTATAAGGCTTATGTATCATAATCTTGGAAAGTGATTAAAGAACCAATCAGGATATTAATAACCAATAGCATACTATTAAAATACCTGATTGATCTGATTTAGCCAAATTAATAATCAGATTTAATTAGATATAATATAACTGATTAATCATTTTAACTAAATATAATATAACTGATTAATTGATTTAACCAAATATAATATAACTGATTAATCAGATATAACTAAATTTAATATAACTGATTTATATTTAGGTGCAAGTTTTAGAAAGCTAATAAAACTGATTAGCAAAAATATAACTGGTTCCAACTACTATGTATGACTTATATAGTGTTTTAAATGAGACCTGTTTGCAAAATCTTAAGTTTGATTAGTCTGCATAACTTATTCATCAAATTTTGATTATTTTTCACAAATAAATTTATTATATATATTGATTAACTGATATATATATGCATTCAAATATGTAATTATAGAGTATAATTTGAATAAAAAAAATTAAAACATAAGTAATATCATAGTTATAATAACTAACAATAGTAAAAAAGAAATTTTAGAAGCAAAAATTAGTAACTTAGTGCAACTTAATTTGTGTATTTACCTAATATTTGCTATTTTTGTAATATTTTTTTGTAGTATTACAAGTAAATTGGATTCTTTCTTTTAGTATTAGATTTTTATATTAAATTAGGAACATATAATATAAAATTATTTATTTGTAAATAGGGTTTTAAGTTCTTGGCAGAGGTATAATAATAGTAATTTAGTGAATAAGTATTTTATTATATATATATATCTATTTTAGTTTTTGTCTTTTTCAACTCGAAGTTCTGTTTCTTTTAGAAAGGCAAAACTAGTTCTTTTATAACTTTTTATATGGTAAGATGTGAGAGCTTTGATAAATAATTAATTTTTTTCATAGCTAAGATGGATAGCTTTTTAAATAATAAGCTTATATATTGTTTTTTTTTAATTTAATAATAATTTGATTAATTTTTGCATTTTTGCTTCTTTTATTCTGAACTCTTATTTAGTATTTTACTTTATGTTCTTTTCCTCACATATTCATATCAATGTTACAGCCACTTGTTTATTCTATAATAAATCATTTAAGCCTTATAAGTTAAGGCTGAACTTTTATCAGTTAAGTGTTAAAATCACAATTTTTAAAACTAGCATTAACTTAAATTGAAGCACAGTATTACATTTCAGAAATATCACATTTAGCCTGTAATAGTAGGATTTTTCATTAGGTTGGTTAAATAATAATTATTAATCATTAAAAATAATTTATTATATTATAATGATATAGATACTGATCCAAAAATGATCTACTATTAATGACATTTATAGCATACTTATTAATTAAAATAGATTATAGAAACTTCAAAAACATAGAAATTAAAAATTAATTTTAAAAGCCAGTAAAGCTACCAAAGAATTATCAAACTATCCAAAATTTATATATATTAGTAAACTTATTAATACACAATACTTAAAATTACAATTTAATAATAAAGTAGTTGCATAATGTAGTTATGCTAGAAACTCAAGAATGAAAGCAAATATAGTAGTTAACAAATAGTCAAAGTAATGTACAAATAAAAACTGATCTAGTATCTCATTAATATATTGCAAAGCATTTGATATATATTATATATTATCAATATGCATTAACTAATCAAACAAAAGTTTGCAAGACAACATGTAATAATTATCTGGTTATTAGGTTATTTAAAAATTATTTTGCTATTGTCTTCAGCATTTATTTAATCAACAAAATAAAAAATCCTAAAAATATCAAATAAATAGACAAATTAATCTGTA